TTGGAATTAATAATGTTCTGGAAGATAACAGGCTTACAGTTGGATGAATTGGTTCCAGCTGATTCATTCCCTGGCCAAGCGTTGCAGGATGGTTTTACTCTGACCTGAAATCTTCGCTAGAAGTTTTAATGATTTTGATGTATAGGCAGTGTCCCGTTTTATTGGAAATTTTACCCTGTAGATGTATTTAGCTTCATTGGATTTTTTACCCCGTATATATTATTCATATACTAATTTTATGAAGATGTTTGGTCCCTGTATGATTCCTCCCTATACCCTTACACGTGACCAAGTGCCAACAAAATGGGGAGGAATGTTGTAACTGATGAGGTCTATACAGGTCACGTGATACGTGTGACGTAACTGGTGTTAAACAAGTCACTTATTATACAGCTACCAAACTATCAACACGTCGCTACCACAGCTCGTCTACTTGTGTGTTTAGTGGTTCAACATAGTAAGTCAAGAAATATTACAGTATTATAAAATAAAATAATAAAATAAAAGAGATATTTAACGTTCGGAAACGCCCGCAAAGATGATGTCACAGAATTTTATAACGGTGGCGCCGGGCGGAAGTAGCTGGGTACATCGTCTAGTAGTTCGGATGGGACGAACAACCCAGGTCTCGTGAAAATGTTGGCGTGCACGTATAAGTACCCCCCCTGTCCACGTAAAATTTAGAATACAATTATGCCAAACGGCAACAAATACGATTTATACACAGCACAGAGTGAATATGCTATAGCTTCGAATAGGACACGTAGCAGTACCCTGGGTCACAGGGACTAAAATAATATGTACCCTGTCGATATTGTCTACAGAGGCGTAGCCGTGATATATATATTGGGCGGGGGGGGGGGGGGGCGCAAATAAAATTTTATAAAATGTTGACAATCTGTGACGCCGGAGGCCGATGTAGTGCGATAGAGAGAGTGTGGAAGTTTTGGGGGGCCACCCCCCATAATTGTTTTTAGTCCTTCTGCTCATATTAATTCTAGTCTATATTTCTATGTGCAGAAGGACTAAAATGACGTCACGGATTGCTTATTGGCGGAAAGTTACGAATACCCACGGAGAACGGCGGAAATTACTAATGTTGAAATTTACCTGTTGCAGGTAATATTGACATTCGGATTCGGGTTATACCCTTAGCAAAAAGTCCTACAGAATACCAGTGTAGTATTGTATATAATTCTATAGAAAAACTATAGAGTTTTGGGGGGGGGGGTGTCCCATTTTTTATAGGATAAAATTCTATAGTATTCTACAGAATTTTGGGGGCCGGTAGGAAATAACGGCCCCAAATATTCTATAATTTCTGTAGCGCACATCCTATAGTTTTTCCTACAGATTTATGGCAAAATTTCTATAGGAAAATATTATAGTATTCTATAGGGTTTTTTTTATTGCACTTTCTGTAGGAAATTCTACAGTTATGTATAGGAATGAATACTGTAGTTTGAAAATTGGGCCACTATAGTTTTCTGTAGGAATGGGTACTATAGAATTCTATAGACTTTTTTTTTATTAAATCTTATTTTGGGAATAAAACTATAGTTGGCCCATGATTTCTTCTAAATTGATAAGCTTATTTTTCTCTCATGGATTCTTCTAAATTGATAAGCTTATTTTTTCTCTCATGGATAAATCTGAATTCTGTTGATGATTCATCAGCCAGAACCATGAAAAGTATTTTTTCTTGGTATAACTGAAATATAAGGAAAAGAATAGGTAATAAAGTTAAATAAATAACAAAATCACATAAATCTTATCTAATTAAAGTAATTTAATATTATTGTTAAGAAAGTAATAAAGTATACTTATCTTTCTATCTTTAATCGAATCTGTGAAAAAAATAGCACCATTCTCTTCAGCTTCTTGTTAATACTAACATATTAAGTTGTTATACACTGAATTTTTTAATTTAAAATTCAGCCAATGGCCAAACAGATTTCAAGAGAGTACATTTGCTGTTAATTATAATTTGTTGACAGGTATAAACGGCTGACCTGGTGACTTGAACAAATTATATAATTTGAGTACAGAATCTGCTATAGTCATTAAGATCTAACTAGCAGGATCCAATAACAGTCAGACTTCTGTGTTCTAAATAAACTTTGTCTTTATTTCATTGACTTATCTAAAGAATAATTTATTATCTGATATTTTTGTTGTGAAGATCTACATTTACTGGCATTTTTTGGAGGGTGGGTGGGGAATTCCTTTGAGTGTCAACATGTATCACTATTTCATTCATATTATATACACTATTTTATACTTAATATTTTATTTTTCGTGGTAAGCTTATTTTAGTTTGTCATTTGGTATCACAATAAATTAAGGAAAACCGTATCCAGGAAAATTATGTTGGAAAAGTTTACATAATTCACACAAGTGCCTCACTAAATTCTCTTGTAAACTATAGTATGAATAAAAGACATCACCAATTTATGAAATCTGTAGTATAGAACATTGTTTCTACATTATTATGTAGAAAACTATAGTATGCTATTTGTTAAAATGGCTTAAGTACAGTATACATATAAATTCTACAGAAAACTATAGAAGGCTCATGCATTATATTTTTCTCCACAAAATCTATAGAAAAAAATGTCAGAATGTCATAGAAAACTATAGGATCACACAACTGACTTGAGACAATAAGTTAGTTCTATAGAAAACTATAGTTTTTACCACCAAATCTATAAGAACGCCAGCTGACGTGAGAATACAAGTTAGTTTTATAGCAAACTGTAGTTTTTACCACAAACGCTGTAGAAAACTGAAGGATTACTCAGATGACTCGAGGATACAGGTTAGTTCTATAGAAAACTATAGCAGCACCAATGAATCTGTAGGTTTATTTTTTTTCCAATAGTTTCTTACAGTATTCTATAGAATTCTGTAGGAAATTACACTTTGAAAATATTTATCTATCAATCCTACACAAAACTATAGTACATGTTTTTGAATCTATAGTCATGTGAAAAAAACTACAGAATGAATTTGTTTTCCTGCAGCACTCTATAGCATTCTATAGAATCCCACAAACTTCTATAGAAACCTGTACTTTTTCTATAGGACTTTTTCATAAGGGTACTTATGGAAAGGATGTGTTGACATAATTACTTGCATGATTTAAAACATTTATGAACCCGGTGACCTTTAAACTAAAACATCACACCAACATATTGGGATATGTACAGGTTTTATACAGGTAGAATCTTAACTAATCCTAATAATTGTTGTAAATAAATAAAGAAGTAACTATGTAAATTTTTTTTTTTTTTTTTTTTTTTGGGGGGGGGGGTCCTTGCCAGTTCCTAGGTCCTGCAGTACTCCAAGGAGGAACCACGACGGATAAGTGAAGGTGAGATATCGAAAGTGCTTGACTCCGTTTTAATTCTACTGTAAGTGACGTACAGTCATACCCCATAACCTGAAACCCAGTGTTATGCTATACACTCTTAAGACCAACTAGAAATCAGCCTGATTTCTTCATGTTTAGGAATTTGACCTCAAAGATAATGGAAGTTTGTTGAAGAGAATCCTGTCATCAACTTCTCAAAGATAATAAATTGTCGCCCAATTATTATCTATTTAGATGGTGCAGTGTATAAGTGTCATATTACACTGCTCTATGTTTAGAATATAAAAGCTAGATGATTTGGAGATCAGGTTCTGTGGGATTTTCAATTGAAATTAAAATTAAAATTGAATAAGAGAATAAAAGAAAATAATCAAATTGAATGTAGAAATAAACAAATTTAATAACAATTTAATATAATAATTATATCATGAAAATAAAATTGATTCAAATATTACATAAAGTAATAATTAGCTTATTTAATTAGATGTAGCATCTTGTTTTAGCCAGGGTATACAAACATAAATTTCAAATTTAAACCAAATCGGCTAAAAATTATGACCTCTACACTGTTCACGAGCTCAAAACGTAATATTTCGTACAATCGGGGGCCATAATCCACGAAGTTACAGTCCGATACATGCCAATATCGAAAGGAACCGAGATCTTAGGGGGATTAACCTATATTTCAAGTTTCATTGAAATTGGATAAAATTTGTGTCCTGTAGAGTGTTCACAAACAATTGTGGACGTCCGGACGGACGGACAGAGCCGACGACAATATACGTCCACATGAAAATGTCAGCGTATAAAAATGGATTCAAATATTACATAAAGTACCGGTAATAATATGCTTATTTAATGAGATGTAATATCTAATCAGTTGATAACTATCTGGCAGTCATTATCAGAAATCGTTGAAAATCAACAGGCTTCTTCGTCTGATGACCTTAAAGACTGTGTATATATTTAAAGTCAATCGGATATTAACTTTAGCCCCTAGAGCGTCCACCAGATTTTTCAAAGTGATAAAGGGCGATATATGTAACTCTGGCAGTAATTATCGGAATTTGGTGAAAATCAATAGGATTCTTTGTAAACACGGATATTAATTTAAAGTCAATCAGATATTAAATTTACCTCTAAAGAGACCACAACCTTGTATTACATACTTTTAGGCTATTCTTCAAGTGTCATATTGAGTAATTTGTATATAATAGTGTTAAGCTGTTATCTATCAACCTCATCATCGATAATAAATATGATTTATATAAAAAAAGAGCTTTTTATTTTAGAAATTAAAATGTTGTCATTTGATACTCACAATGGCAGGTTTATAGCTATCAACACTTATCTAACTGGACTATTTATATCAGCAATAATGCCACTCAGGTTGGACATATTGTTTAGATTAGCATTCCAGGCAATTAAAAATCAGTGAACCGGGCCAAACCCAAACATCCAAAATTTAGCTCTTTTTTCTAGATGGTCTTAGGACTGTATAAGGTGTGATAGTGAATTACTCAAGTCGGGTAGATCCGTATCCAAAACAAAAACGTATGTGTTTTTTTGTTTTTGGACAAAATACCGGAAGATGATCGAAGAATTTCGCGCAGCTACAAATTTTACCGGAAGTAGACGTGAATTAGCTTCCATATTTAGTTATTTGTATGGTCTGAGTCTCTAGTATTATGTATTCAAAAGTATTTTTCTCTGATGACAGTTTTAATAAGTTTCTTGAAAATTTTGAAGTCGATTCTACGACGCATTTTGTAGTATCATTTAATAGAAACTTTAATTTAACAGGTACAGTAATTCAGGGGTATTTTAGTTGAATGCCAGTCAAGTCGTCTACAAGTACAAGGAAAGTCGTCCACACGAAAAATCTGGTTAAGTCGTCCACACCCGTTGGTGGAGTCGTCCACACGACTTAGTATAATTTCTGGATAAAGTAATACGTTGGTGGAGTCGTCCACAAGACTTTCGGGACACATAATGTCTTTGTAATTAGTATAGTTTTTCTGCGTGGTCACCCTTTCTCCCGGCAAAACTATAATTTCTGGATATAGTAATACGTTGGTGGAGTCGTCCACACGACTTAGTATAATTTCTGGATATAGTAATACGTTGGTGGAGTCGTCCAACGACTTAATATAATTTCTGGATATAGTAATACGTTGGTGGAGTCATCCACACGACTTAGTTTACTTTCGGGACACATAATGTATTTTTAATTAGTATAATTTTTCTGCGTGGTCACCCTTTTTCCAGGCAAATAAACAACAAAGTAAATCATTTTATTCAATAAATAACATATTCATAAACAAATTTAACAAATTCAATAAATAATCATTAATATAACAAATTCAATAAATAACAAATTCCTAAATAAGTTCATTAATATAACAATTTCATTAATATAACAATTTCATTAATATAACAAGCCCCATGCACAAATGAATTCCTATACTGCTACCAAACGACCCACGTCCTTTAAAAGCCCCGATACACTTTTTTCCCCCCTGTTGATACACTTCCCATATTTTAAAGATTTTCCCTGCTACTGTCTCAAATTTCTTCCTTTGTCGCCTCTTTAATTTATTCTCCGAAACCAGTCGTTGTTGTAGTTCTGCCGTTTTAGATTCATCGTGTAACAGTTTGATTAGAAGATAAAATTGAAGGTTATTTCTCGCGGCCTTGTGGTTGATTCTCCGATGCCATCCCTTGACGTCGTTGTTTGTTCTAATTGGTTGTAAAAATACACACCAATTTTCGACGTCCCAGGAATCCATCCATGTTCTCTGAATATACGAAAATAATTCTCTAAGTAGTTTTGTAGTTGCGTATCTTAACAAACAATACAATAAACTTTATTACAAAAACATCGTTAATACTAATCAAAAATGTTACAATCATAACGTCAATTAAAAGCGAATATACTTTATTAAAAAAACATCGTTAATACTAATCAATCAATCAAAAAAAACATAACGCCAATTAACAAACAATACAAAATACAAGTATACTTCATTGCAAAAACATCGGTGAACAACCAGCTAACAAAACAAACAATAACATCGGCGTTTTGAGTACGAGTAAATTATGTACGAGTCTTATTCTTAGTTGTGGACGACATCACCAATAGTTGAGTACGAGTAAATTGTGTACGAGTCTTATTCTTAGTTGTGGACGACATCACCAATAGTTGTGGACGACATCACCAATGCCTTGTAGACGACTCCACCAATGGGTGTGGACGACTTCACTGTGGACGACTTTGCTTGTGGACGACTTCACTGGCACCCTTTAGTTACTTTACTTTAGACTTTTACTAGTAACGTTTCTGTCCTTCCAAGTTCCATCTATGATCTTAGCTTACTAATCTAATGTGTGAACCATGGTAAATTATAAACGAATTTCTTCGATTGTGAACAAACTACTGAATAATTTTTATTAAAAACTTGCCCATGTGTTTGAAATCACCTCCGGTTGAATAAAATCCATTGCACAATTAAATATCCAAACCAAAACAAAAGTTCTCTCTTGAAAAGTCAATGTTTTTGCTTGTATTTTCGACAGTGTCCATCACAACATTACACATGTCAGGTCATGAGCTAAACCATCATAATATGTTGAAGGGGGGTAAAGGTTGAATCACGTGTGTTGTAATCACAACAGCGCACGACCGTTTCGAGTTTTTGAGTTTGGGCAACACAATAGCAACTGAGATAAAGACATTGATTTGGAAACAATTGGAACTATTTCAGTAACGTACCTCTACCAGTTCCTGTGATCGTAGAGACTTGAAATTTTCAGGGTGTGTTCACAGGGACTAGCCATGACCTCACACTAAATTTCAACCGAATCGGTCAATAACTTTTTATTTTACCATAGTTTAGCTTCTATAAGAGATAAATATATCCGATTTTGACGCCATTTTGTTTGTTGACTATTTAGTCTCGAATGACGTCATATGTGGATTGTGGGTTAGGATAAGGGTTAGGGTAAGGGCTAGGACCTGTAGATTTCGTCATAGTCTCAAGATGTAGACAGGGCTAGCCCTAACCCTGTCTTGTTATTCGAGTCTAAATAGCCAACAAACAAAATGGGGTCAAAATCGGATAAACTTTCTCGTTATAAGCTAAACTACGGTAAAATAAAAAGTTATTGACAGATTCGGCTGAAATTTGGTGTGAGTTCATGGCTAGGCCCCATGAATACCCCCTGAAAATTTCAAGTCTCTAGGATCATGGGAACTGGTAGAGGTACGTTACTGAAATAGTACCCAGTAATTCAGGGGTACTTTACTGTCTGAACCATCGTAAATTTTAAACAGATTTCTTTGAATAGTGGCAAGTAACGTTAAAAAACACTTTCGGATTGCTGTAATTACGGGAACACCCGGTAATTAATGAGCTAAAGATAAATCACGGAACACTTGTGTAGCACTACACCCAGTCAGTCGACGTATATTTCAATATGGCATCGGCAGAAAGTGACAGCTTGTCAGACATTGACTTTGCCTCGAATGTTCTTCCCTATCAGTACGAGCCAATTAGAAATGCCAGCAACAACAGTGACGATGATGGTTCGGAACATTCTACCATTTCTAGCGAAAAAGAACAATCGCTGCAGGCTGTGTTCGAATGAGGTCAGAGTACCTTGTCTTATTCACAATCCTTCGATTCTCGATAACATTTATTGATCATGTTCACGCTTCATCGGCGAAAAATATATCAGAGAAATACTATTAATTCCAATAAGTTTACCCTAGGGTAATACCGTATTATATACCCTAGCCTACTTTCTTTGTGCAACAATTGAAAAACGAGGGTCACATATCGTATAGGCCTATTGTTGAAAAAAATTTCTATCACGCTGATGAAAATACATATGTATATTTGGTTATGTTTTTATACCTTCGATGGCCTCTACTCCATGAAGATCTGACTGATGATTGTAGTGGAAGGTCGCGTCGTATGAGCAGGGGTCGTATGAGCAGCTTTTGACCGTATGACATCAGACATTTGTTAATCAATCAGCGTTGGCATTTCTAGTGGTTTACCCACAGTTCCGTGCATGGCACGCCAAGAAGTCGCTGTAACGAACTGTTTCATTGGCTTATAATATATCACCAATTATACGAATACTCGTAAATATAATATTGTTTTTCACCCCTGTATATATAATTGTATATTGGATACATTGCCTTGTGAATTTCAAAACAAAGCCGGGAATTTACAAAATAATTGTGTTACTGATCACGTACGATTATAAATTTTTCTAAACAGTTTTTTGCACACCGGAAATAATATTTAGAGCGAAATAGAAAGAAACTGAACTATCTGCCGATAATTAATCTGGTGTGCGTTATGATTAATTGTTGGTAATAATTTTTGGTATATATAAAACAAAAATAACGTTATAGGCCTATACCTATTCAATGGTTCAATGGCCTCGGCTATTAATGTTGTCTAGGCAAATGTAAAATACATCGGCATTTACCTCGGCTACAGCAGATTGCTAAGGTTAATTGACAGGACTGCTTAAGTTCATCAGGAAATATTAACCAGCGGCTGCCAGGCAGGATATGCCCACATTTTCGAGAGATGGATAGAGAACAAGCTAAAAAGAAAGTGATTTTTCCTACAATCATGGGCCATAATTCAGGAAATTACAATTCGATATGCACAAATATCAAAAGGAACCGAGATCTTTGTGTTATAAACTTACATTTCAAGTTTCAACAAAATCGGATTAAAATTGTGACCTCTATAGGGTCCACAGCCTTGATATACCATATTTTTACGCTATTTGAGAACGAAGGTGGCCATTTTGTCAGTCAGTTTTGGGCCGATTTTCATGAAATTCGAACTCAGCCTTCCTTAGGGTGTAATGGTGATACAATAATACGATTTTTTAAATCGGATAAAAATTATGACCTCTATAGGGTCCACAAGCTAAAAACGCGATTTTTCGTACAATCAGGGCCCATAATTCAGGAAGTTACGGTTCGATATGCGCGAATATCAAAAGGAACCGTGATCTTTGGGTTATAAACTTACATTTCAAGTTTCAACAAAATCAGATACAAATTGTGACCTCTATAGGGTCCACAAGCTAAAAATTGATTTTTCGTAAAATCAGGGGCGATAATCCATAAAGTTTCGATCCGATACATGCCAATATCGAAAGCAGTCGAGATCTTTTGGGATAAACCTATAATTAAAGTTTCGTCAATATCGGATAAGAATTGTGACCTGTAGAGAGTCCACAAACAATTGTGGACGGACGGACAGGGGCAACGGCATAATACGTCCACATGAAAATGAGGGCGTATAAAAATATTCAAGGGTGAAATTAATTCAAGGTCAGTAAAACAAATATAGTTCAAAAGAAATAATCCCACCAAACTCTCTAACCAAATAATTATAATTCAAGAGGGAAACAAAATACCGGACTACGGGCGTATTTATGTTTTTAAATGCCCAAACTCATTACTGGGTTCCGAGAGGAATAGCTTATTCATAGTATTCATACACAACCATTACGACAGACAAGCCTTGCTTTGACCCCCTATACGAAATGATATATCCCGATAAGTGACGTAATTAGCTTCCATTTTGGTTATTTCTCGGTGTCAAAGTTTGTGATGGGTTCAATTTTACAAGAGAGAGCTTTTTTATTCGCTAGGACATATAGTTGTACAATGGATTTTATATAACCGGAGGTAATTTCAAACACACAGGTAAGTTTATAATAACCAAAGTATAGTAGTTTGTTCATAATCGAAGAAATCTGTTTATTATTTACCACGGTTCACACAGTAAGTATTAAAGGAGAATGCTATTGTAAAAGTTTAATTTTATCATTTACTTACATGTAGTTCATTGTGTAACGCATTTCAGATTTTTTTTTTTTTTTTAAATATGTTTTACTAATAGTAATAGTGGCAAATAACGTTAAAAAACACTTTCGAATTGCCGCAATTACGGGAACACCCGGCAATTAATGAGCTAAAGCTAAATCACGGAACACTCATGTAGCACTACAGACAGTCGATGTATATTTCAATATGGCATCGGCAGAAAGTGACAGCTTGTCAGACATTGACTTCGCCCCAAATGTTCTTCCCTATCAGTACGAGCCAATTAGAAATGCCAGCAACAACAGTGACGATGATAGTTCGGAACATTCTACCATTTCTAGCGAAAAAGAACAATGGCTGCAGGTTGTGTTCGAATGAGGTCAGAGTACCCTGTCTTATTCACAATCCTTCGATTCTCGATAACACTTATTGATCATGTTCACGCTTCATCGGCGAAAATATATCAGAGAAAAACTATTAATTCCAATAAGTTTACCCTAGGGTAATACGGTATTATATGCCCTAGCCAACTTTCTTTGTGCAACAATTGAAAAACGAGGGTCACCTATCGTATAGGCCTATTGCTGAAAAAAATTTCTATCACAATGATAAAAATACAGATCTATATTTCGTTTCGTATTTTATATTTTCAATGACCTCTACTCCATGAAGATCTGACTGATGATTGTAGTGGAAGGTCGCGACTTTTGACCCTATGACATCAGACATTTATTAATCAATCAGCGTTGGCGTTTCTAGTGGTTAACCCACAGTTCCATGCATGGGACTCCAAGAAGTCGCCGTAACAGACTGTTTAATTGTCTTATCCCTCACTTCAACCAAAACGCCGGTAATATAACAACTCTTCCAGATCCTAGTGTAGTAAAGACAAGTAAAACGAAATTTTGAACTAAGAAAAAAAGAAACGAAATAGGATCTGTGTTGTAATCAGATTGATTGTAACAATGATTTATTTTAATCCAGATCCAACCAACGTAGATATTACCAAGTACAGATTAAGATGGAGTGATACAACAACTACACCAAAAGTCCCCTATAATGGCATCCCATTTATTATAATTGGTCACACAGTACGTGCGTGTCAAAATGGACCAACAGCAAAACCTAAGGTACATTAACCTCCTAACCTATCTACTTTGTCTCTCTACCAATTTCTTTTTGTCCCCGATTTTTCATAGAAAACAGGGGACTATTAAAATGGTAATGGCCGTCCGTCTGTCTGTCTGTCCATCACACTGTTTGGGGCACAATAACTCTCCGTCAAATTAAGCTAGAATGTTCAAACTTGGTGTAGGTGTTTATTAGGTCGATACCTTGATGGAGTTCGAAGATCAGCATTTTCTGCTGAGGGTAAGCAGAGATAAGCAATTTGATTGGTTGATCCTTTGGAACACGATAACTTAAGTTCTAATTAAGCGAGAGTGATGAAACTTGGTGTATAGATTCATTACATTAATGCCTTGGTTTTTTTTTAAATTTCTGTTAAACATACATTATATAAGAGCTAAATCGGCCTATTGCATGTCTTTCATTGGCCCTGAAATGTTATATAAAAAAGTATTAATTAAGACATTTATTAACATGAAAAGACTGTGATCAAATTTCGATGCCATCTTTTGTGTCGGATTTTCACAGGATTTGAATCCGATCTGCTGCTCAACCCTCATTGATGATAAATCCAAAAGTGGATATTCAAGACTATGTTTTTTATCGTACCGACTTTAGTAATGATGATTGAGGCCAGGATTAAAATTCAAAAGCTAATATCTTGGTTCACAGTGGAGCAATTCGACTGAAATTTTCAACATATTCTATTTTTTCACCATTATAGTGTTATATAGTGATAAGTCTAGTTACATAAGTAGTTAATTGTGGTCTGAATCTTAGTTAAGCTTGAAAGAGTTACCTTCCTTTAACTGTCTTTGCCTTTGATTTATAAAAAGAATTATTGATGTTTCTACTTTGTATGAGTGATCTGCCCTTGGGGGAAGAGAATAAACATGTGGATCATTGAATGGTGTTTTCTTTATTGAGAGTTAAAGATTGAGAAATAGTGACACCCCCAGTGGGATTAAACCCACATAACATGGTGGAGACGCCAGATCTTTCCCTGAAGTAACTTTATAGTCATTGAATTTGAGTGGATGCCATGACTTTTCTTCGATTGAATTGGATTTGATTTTTATTTTGTGCCAGCCAAACTCGCCTGGTTTGAGTCAAGCCCAGCTTTAACTTTTCAGGCTGCTTACAGCTTAATTAGGCCTATCACTGTGAATATTCGCATTGTCATTGTGTGAAAAGACAATTATTGTGCCTATTTGTGGTTGCAGTTTGACTTTGTTCAAGAACATTTTTATCATTTTCATTGTGAAATTTTGGTGAGGTATCCTAGTTCGTTTGTAGTATTCCACTTCATTGAATTATTAGCCTAGATCTAGACATGAACACTGCCAAGAATCAGTTAGACCTAATTTAGCCTGTTATGCCTTTTATAAACATTAAAGCAAAGATGCAGTAATATGAATGATGACGAATGAAAATGATTACAAACTTTTGTGTAGATGAGCTCAGATCAGATCTTATTTACAAGCTGAACAATTTCAACTTCCAGTTTTTAAAATCATTGAATGTGTGCTGTGTCCAGTGACATTTGATTCATTTTCAACTCCCTAGCGATTCCTGTTACATGTGCTGTTTCGAAAGGAGTGCAGTGACATTTTCATCCATATTAGCTTTTATAACAACATTAATTTGATATTCTGTGTTTTATAAAACTATTAATTTAATTTACAGAACTGTTTAGTAATATTTAGTCAATTTGTCCAAAACTATATTGTCAACTCCTTGATATGTAATATTTGTTTTCTTGTAGGAATCAATTGCATGTTACTAATCAAAATTTCTTTTCAGGTTTAAGTTTTATGATTTAAGTGTAGGCCTATTCTTTTATTACCAGAAATTGATCAGTGTCAGTGTGTGTAAGGTCCTAGGTACCGTAACTTTAAATGTTATTTTTTTGGCCTAATATTTCTCTTCTTATTATCTGCAATGGAGAAAATGATTGATCGGTTCGATGGGTCTGTTATTGATAGGGATACTGCAAGAGCCCACATTCTTAGCTTTGAGGATTACCTCAACCATCAAGATATTGCTATTGACGATGAAGAATTTGAGCACATATCACAACTGTTTAAGCAATCGCTCAAGGGCAAGGCTCGTCTTTGGATAGAGGACATTGAATTTGATTCTTACGCTAGTTTGAAAGACCAGTTCATTGACAAGTATTCCTCAACTAAAACTAAACTTGGATTGTATAGCCAATATTCCAATATTCAATATGATTGTTCATTGTCACCTAGTGACAATTTAGATAAAATCAAGAAATTAGCCAATCAGTTAGGTTATAATTTGTCACAAGTTAGGGATAAATTTATATCTATTTTACCAACCAACTGTAAACAGGCTGTTATTATGGCAAGTTCAGATGACACAACTGCACAAGCACTTGCGTTTCAAGCTCAACGCTATTTTGATGTGGGTAGTAATTCATCACCAACTACAGCTGTAAAAGAGGTTTCCTTTAATTTGTCTGAGAATTTGTCCAGTTTACGATTGCAATCCCAGAATTCCCATAGTCCCCAAAGGAGAACCCCAGCACATTCTGATTCCAGCAGAGACACATCTCATTCACCTTTCCGGGTTCAACGACCTAAAAGTCCCTCAAATTCTAGGCTGCGCAATTCACAGTCACCCTTTAGAGATAACAGTCCAATACGTCAGTCGAGGCGTGTTATATTTTGCGATTATTGCCTCAATCCGGGTCACACATGGAGATCCTGTTTTGCTCGGCAAGATGATCTTATGAGTAGGCGTAGACATTTGTCACACTCTTTCAACCCTACTAGTTATCAGTCACCTTATACGTCAGATTTTCAGTCGCAGCCTTCTGCTGTTGACAGACAGGGTTTTCGACAACCTGGTGGATCATCTAGGCCACAACGCTCAGATCAACGCACACATAGTTCTCGCAAGGATTTTTGAATAGGGGAATATTTGATAATAATGCTCCACAAATATTCCCCCAACTCAATCATCTAGCCAAACATGTTTCAAAGGACATTAACTCGGATGTCATTCTTCAGTTAAGTCCCTTTAATTACTGTAAGGGTAGTTTATCAGATAGAAAATCTGTGCTTATTTTATTTGATAGTGGTGCTTCTAAATCACTTATTTCACAATCCGTTGTTAATTCTTCTCCTTATTTGTCAAGTTTACCTGTACATAAGTTAGAAAAATGTTTGGAATTTCGTATGGGTAATGGTCAAATGTTAAGTTGTTCAACTTTCATGTTTATACAAGTCTTTATTCAAGGTTATTCGTTTCGTTTAAAGGTTTATGTTGCCCCACATTTAGTGGGCATTGATCTTATTTTTGGTCAGGATACCTTATCAGAGTTACAAGGTTCCTTACATTTTGAGGATAATGTATTTCGGTGTAAGCCTAAAAGAGTCAACTTTTCCCCAACACACAATGTGTACATTAAGCCAGGTCATACACGCTATGTCGCCTTATATGGTCATGTCCCAGGTCTTTATAGGAATCGTGAGGTCCTTCTTCAGAAGAGATCAGATAACACATGTTCATCGTTTATACTCGCTACTTTACAGCGTAACAGAGCTGTTGTTCCCATATCAAACCCTGGTAGTAAAACTCTTCACCTTAGGCAATCTCATCCTTTGTTCTATTTCAACACAGGTACTGTTTTTGTGTGTGATTCCTCAGATTTTGTTCAACGTGCAGAACAATATTCCCACCTTAAGAAGGATGATCCTTTATTGCAGTTATCAGAAGATGAGATTTTACAACAGCAAATTAACTTGTATGATAATTGTATTTTGTCACCTAATGAGAAAAAAGATTTTCAAAGACAACTATCCCAAAGCAGAGAAGCATTCAGTCTTTATGGTGAGATTGGCCATTGTTCTAACATTGAAGTTGACATTAATGTTAATGACCCTCGTCCATTTTATATTCGCCCATATCATACCACTGAATCAGATAAAGAGGTTATCGATGCTGAACTTGATAAATTAGTAAAATTGGGTATTATCGCCGAGGGTCACCAATCGTACACCTCTCCTGTTTTAATTCTCCCTAAAAAGGGAACTACAGATAAACGTGTTGTAGTTGACTTTCGTCACTTAAATAAGCGCATTAAGAGGTATAACCATCCATTCCCTTTATTATCATCTACCTTGCAAAGAATTGGTCATGCTAAACCCACAGTTATCAGCTGCCTTGACCTTAAGTCTGCTTTCTTTTCTATGCCCCTTTCACAAAATGCTCAACAATACACGGGTATATCGTCCTATCACGGAGGTCGCCACTTTTACTTCAAGCGCTTAACACAAGGCTTAAGTGTATCCCCTGCTATTTTTCAAGCCGAAATTGATAGGATTCTCTCTCAAGTACCTGACAGCCGTCATTACTGTATTGCTCATCACGACGATATCATTGTATTTAGTAAGGATTCCAGTCACACAGTAGTCACTTACAGGCTGTCTTTCAAGCACTTATTGATAATGGACTGAAGATTTCTCCTCGTAAATGTTCGTTCTTCAGAAATCAAGTTGTGTACATGGGTCATTTAATTAAGATTAATAACGAAGGACTTGTTACCCTCCAACCATTGGCAAATCGTTGCCAGGCAATTCAACATCTTGTTCGTCCTAAGTCTAGTAAAGAAGTTTGTAGGTTTATAGGAGCCGTTAACTATGTCTCAAACTTTCTGCCAAGGCTACAAGAAGTTATGCAGCCCCTTCATCAGATTTCTTCCAAGAGATCTAAATTTTCATGGACCGAAGAACATGAAAAGGCTTTTCAAGATGTAAAATATCTTCTTACTAACCCACCTGTTTTGTACCTCCCGACTGCAAATGGTCCCTTGAGTCTCTATAGCGATACATCTCGATCAGCTACTGGATCGTACATTACACAAATCATAAATGGCAAGGAGCGCATATTGGGTTATTATTCTAAGAAGTTACCTCCGGCATGTAAGAATTACAGTGTTACCGAGTTGGAAATGTTTGGTCTTCTCATAAACATCACAAATTTCCAGTACTTACTCAAAGGAGTTGAGTTTACTGCTTATGTTGACCACTCTGCAATAGTTCAACTTCTGTACTCCAAGAAAGAGCCTTGTTCTCAACGTCTCACTAAGTTAATTGTCAAACTATCCCAATATTCATTCAAAATCTTCTATAAAAAGGGAACTGAATTAGTCTTAGCAGATTTCTTATCAAGGAGTTCAACTGATACAGACGATGAAATTGATCAAGTTGTGCCCACTGCTTTTACCCTTTCTGAGCTCGCATTTCCTGTTACTCAGTCAGCAAGTCGCCCGGTTACACGGCAATATGCAAAACAGAAGCAAATAGCCATTCCCGAACTCTTCCCCAAACCTTCCACACGCACTACTACCGTTAGTCAACCAACTTCTAGTACTTCAACTGAAATCCCTTCTTCCATTGTGTCTTCCAATAATATCTCTTCACAGTCAAGGAATTCTAGAACTCACCAGTCAAAATCTCAACAGAACTCTTCCATTCCCCTTCCCTATATACGCCAACCAAGCCAGAATGCTGTCCCACCTAAACCACCACCAGTTCTCGCCGACACACAAGTATCTTCCTCTAATGATTCTATACCTGAATCTCGTCTGGTCGATAAATCAGTAGACATTGATATAGATGGTGATACTCCCATTGATCTCTGTATTCCTCCCAAACCCCTCATCCACAATTGTGAACGGCTGGTCACTAATCATTTCCCAAGACAAGCTGAATTGGATAAGTTGTACAATGTTATTAAGTGTAAAATCATCAGAGACTATAATTTGACATTCGATCAAAATAAGCTTCGGCTTGAACAAGCGTCTTCTCCCCAATTTAAGCCTATCTATGATTATTTGTCTCACAATATATTGCCCAGTGATCGCAAAGCTGCGAAACGTCTCAAACTCCAAGCAGAAGAGTACATTTTAGCAGAGCATATTTTATTTCGTCTTCTCCTACCCAAGGATGATCGCTTTACTCTTCAACTTGTCATTCCTGAGTCAATGTGCACAAATTTGATACATCAGTATCATGATAGCCAGTTGTGTAATCATCAGGGAATAGTTCGGACTTATTTGACTATGCGAAAGCTCTTCTACTTTCCCAACATGTTTCAGAGGATCGCACAGTACATTAATACATGTTCTACTTGCCAGAAATTCAAACCCAAGACAGATAAAACCAGAACATTTCATCCTAGGATACCTGAAGAATACAATGTTTTTGACAAACTTAGTATTGATTTCAAAAGCATGCCTGCATCCATCTCTGGTTTTAAGCATCTTCTAGTTATATGTGATGAGATTACTCGCTTCATCATTTGCGTCCCAACTAAGTCAGTTGACGCCGAAACAGTGTGTGAAGCTTTAATCCAGAAAGTAGTCTGTCTCTTTGGTCCCCCATCTGTCATAGTAACAGATGCAGCTGCAAGTTTCATCGGAAAATTGGTTACCTCTCTTTGTACAACACTTGGTATTAGTCAAAAAGTAATTAGTGTTGCAAATCATGGTAGTCTTCTGGCAGAACGCCACATTAGATCAATCTCTGATTTTCTCAAGGTTAACTTAAATCAGTATGGAACTGATTGGGTCAGATATGTGTCTCCCTGTTGCTATGCTTACAATTCTTTTGTTTCACCACAGTTAGGTGACTTTTGCCCTTACGAGTTGGTATTTGGTAAGAAGCCCAAAAACCTTACCCATCTTCGTTGGCAATTCGATGGAGTTTGTCGTTCATATTTCGAGTATGTTTCCCATTTAAAGGACAAGTTTGATCATATTTCTAAGACTATGCTTGAATTACAAAGATGTCAACAGGAATCTCAGAATATCAGTATTGCACACACCCTCAGTAAGAATCCTATTTACGGATTGGGCCAGTTAGTTTATGTACTCAAACCGTCATCATCAAGCCTTACTTCAAATTCACGTAAAATCAAAGCTGATTGGTGTGGTCCTTTGGTTGTGCATCAAATTCTTGATCGAACCCATTACGTTCTCTCTACGTTGGATGGTAAGGTCCTACAGGACGTCTATTCGATTAATCGGTTAAAACCATGTTTTGTTAGGTCTCCTAATTTTGAGACAAAAATTACCCACATTGATCAACTTCAGAAAGAGTTAGGTAATATTCCTAACAATGACAATCTTACTGTTTTAACTGAAACTAATCAATGTTTCATTACGGATGAATGTGATGTTATCTTACCTAGATTTGATGAGAGTGATATTGTTTCTAATAGGTCTACAAATCCTATTAATATTTGTCATTATCTTCCAAATAGTACAAATAATCATAATATTGCTTATGTAGATAAGTTATCACACTATCAGTTATCAGAACAATGTAAGATGTTACAGGAAATGTCTAATGTGTCTTCTATGGAACTGCATAAAGCTAGGTTCAAATGTGGTTCATTGCAAGTTTTGATAACTACCTCTAATGTCAAGAAAGGTCAAACTTCTTCCTGGATACCAGTTAACTCATCTCCTGTTTTGTTTAATGTAGCCAATGGACTTATCAATGATAATAAACTACAAGTAACTGGTAGCCTAAGCAAATATCAAACCTTGTTATAATAATTATTGTTTTACATTCATTTGAGGATTATAACATAAGTGTTATTCTAACATCTCTGAATCGTGTTTATTCATAGACCCACCTGTATCGCATATTTTAGAGCAATCTTTTCTTGGTAATATATACTACATGCTTTTGGGGGTTTTGGAGCACTTGAATAAACCTATTCTGATTTGTTTACTCATTTTTTTTGATGTCTTTGATTTGTTCAAAGTTTCATGCCTTGTAATATATGTTACACATTAGTATTTTTAAGCACTTATACAAACATAGATGATATGTATTGTCAAACTAGTTTTTCCAAAAACTGTGTTTTTGACTTAGGAGGGAGGGATGTTATATAGTGATAAGTCTAGTTACATAAGTAGTTAATTGTGGTCTGAATCTTAGTTAAGCTTGAAAGAGTTACCTTCCTTTAACTGTCTTTGCCTTTGATTTATAAAAAGAATTATTGATGTTTCTACTTTGTATGAGTGATCTGCCCTTGGGGGAAGAGAATAAACATGTGGATCATTGAATGGTGTTTTCTTTATTGAGAGTTAAAGATTGAGAAATAGTGACACCCCCAGTGGGATTAAACCCACATAACAATAGCGGGAACGGTCAACTCTTTATCTAATCTCCCATAATGTATCTTTAAAGGGACTATCCCGATATCAAGATAGTCTCAAAAATAAAAGTCGGAGTACGTATAAAAATTTAAGCGCAAAAATATAGAGGAATGGGGTATTTACCTTCTCTCAAAATTCCAGCTCAAAATATTGAGTCGTTTGGATGTGAACGTCAAAAATGCTTATCCGGACACGTAACCCTTTTAAGATTTCGGGTCATTTTTTTCATTGGGTGACCTGATAATCGATTCCTGTTAGTTGAGAGGTCTATGTAGTGAATGACCCATGTGCTGTACTTGATAACAAAAGGTAAATTTCAACTACACGTTATTTTTATAAAATAAAAGTCTGGTTTTATCCAGAAACCGCATAATACAGCTTGGGACACCGGTCTCCATTTCCAGATGAAGACTGACGGGTTTAAGTGGTTTGAAAACTTATCACAAATATTGAGTTAGTTGCTCGGCCCTCAGCTAGAGGATTTTAAGGGATTTTAACACAAAATTAAGCAGATTTATTCTCCAAAAAATATCGGGATTAGCCCTTTAATTGACGAGGGCGAGACATTAAGTTATACATACATTGCTATTGCACAAGTACGTTAGCTCAAGGGTTATACATGTATCTATATATTACGTAATGCTTTCACAGTGTTCGATTATGCACATTTTCCACTAAGGCTAAGCAGAGTAGCAATTTGATTGGTTGAGACTTGGAGCACGATAACTTTGGTTCTGATAGGTGAGAGTGATGAAACTTATAGGATAGATTCATTTTTATCAGTACCTTGACTAAGTTTGATGATTAGAATTTTCTACTTAGCCTACGCTGTGATAAGCAATTTGATTGGTCAAGACTTTGGAACATAACTTTAATTGAGGTAGAGTGTTTAAACTTGTTGTATCTGTTCATTAGGTGAATGTCTTGACTGGGTTCAATGATTAACATTTTCTGCTTAAGCTTAGCTTTGCTAAGCAATTTCATTGGCCAATGCATGCTTTGGGATAAGATAACTTTGTTTCTAACTGATGGAGAGTGATAAAACTAGTGTATAGTTTCACTACCAGGTTCTTCAAAACCTTGCCAGAGTTGGTGACTAATAGTTTTGAAACAGATTAATGGTCATTTGTTTTGGGATTGCGTCTGGGGACACCAGCCTCTCTCATGTTTATTTTTTATCTTCATTTCAGTTGTAAACTTTGTAATATTTTTAATACCAAATAGCTTATCATAATTTTTTAAAATCCAGAACGGGGGTTGGATCTGAAATGGTTAGCATGTGCGTGCTGTGTCATAAGGTCTTTCATTGAGTCACCTGGAGTGGTTTTAATTCCCCGGTTGTACCTGATAAGGAGTGGGGTCATCTGTCCGACCTCTTGGGTTTTTTGCGGGGACCTCCGGTTTCCTCCCACTGCTAAAGACCCCTACAAGCAAATGAATTATTGAAATAAAATTGAACCATATGTTAGTCCCAAAATGACCTAGTTTGTGCGACCCCATTTCTCTATGTGTCAAGCTCTGTCAAGTGGACATTAAAAACCCCATCTCTCTCTCTCTCTCTCTCTCTCTCTCTCTCTCTCTCTCTCTCTCAAATCCAGAACAATAAATTAAATGGTTTATTTTTAAATTCCATATTTTTTCAGGTTAGAAAAGAATCCTCGGCCAATACCACTTACACGCGGAAAAGAAAATTAATCCAAAATTCAAAAAAAAAAGGATGTGAAGCTTGTATAAGATGTAGAAAAATTATAACTTTCCCAGAATACAAGGTACAAGATTACTTACATTGTTCTTCTTACCAGGGGAGCCACGGTGGCTCAGTGAGTAAGATGCTGGCTTGCTAACCTGTGTTGTCCGAGACAGTTCATCCAGATTTTCCGGCGTGGTTTCCCCTTGTCAGTGATGCAGGACGGAGGGCCTGACAAGGACAGCTGTCTAGTCGTTTGGATGGGACAAAAAAACGAGATCCTGTGTACACATGGGCGTGCACGTAAAAGATCCCTTGGCAATAGGAATTCGCAATAAGAGTAGGCAATAGTGCTTCTGTCCGGGCAAAATTTCCCTCATAGCACACTGAATGGTGTATGCCCGTCTTCATTAGCCCAGTAGGAGCAGACCAGTAGGATGTCAAACCCCATTTCTTTACATTTTCATTTTACCAGAATTATTTAATTTGGAATTTTAAATTGGCAACACACTTCCGAGATAACAATAAAATGTCTGTGTAATTTGGGCTGGGGTGGGGATGGCCATATGGTCAGCGTGTGCACGCTGTATCATAAGGTCTTTCATGGAGTTAGCTGGTGTGGTTACGATTCCCCGGTTGTATGTGACAAGGAGTAGGGTCACCTATCCATCCTCACAGGTTTTCTCTGGGTCCTCCGGTTCCCTCCCACTGCAAAGACCCCTACGCGCAAGCGAATTATTGAAATAAAATTGAACCATATGTTAGTCTCGAAATCGCCTAATTTCTCTGTACTTTACCATTCAAACAAATAATAATTACACAAAATTTAAATATATTTTAGATAGATGGTCAGCCAACAAAACACCTGAAATTTAAAAAAATGAAAGCATTGACTAATAATTTTTCAAATGCCGAAAAGAAACTTGAAATACATGCGATGTTTCCATCACCCTGTGATCATAGCAACCATCCACTAGGGCAGGTAAGATAGGGTCTGGCTTTAAATCATAAATCAATGGTTGTGAAGTATAGCTAACCCTAAATGAATGCTTTTATTTGCTGCACCGTCATTTAGTGCAATTACCTTTAAAGGAGCTAAACCACTAATATTTGGGATCTAGAAATTGCCAGAAATAGGGCCGGAACGCATTTAATAATGTAATATGAATGTATATAAATGGATTTACATTCAATCGTTTCCATTTTTACTCTAATTTCAAATCAGTTATGTTCGGCAATATCTAGCGTCTGGTTATTCCAGTATTTATTGCGCATGCTCTCCAGATAAGAATATGATGTCACCGTTTTACATGACTTGTGGAATATGTCTATCCTCGTTCATCGAGTCCCTTGGTACAGATGGCGATGAAATGCATTATGGTACACGATTCATGTACCAACGGTAAGATGTTTATTTTGTCTTAAATATTAGATATCAGAAGCCCATCTTTTACCGGTAAGATCACAACATCAATGTTGATTGAAATGCATTATGGTACACGATTCATGTACCAACGGTAAGATGTTTATTTTGTTTTAAATATTAGATATCGGAAGCCCATCTTTTACTGGTAAGATCACAAGATCAATGTTGATTTAAATTGACAAATAATTTGTGTTTTCAATGTCAAAGACTTTGGATTATATTAAGTTAGAGACTTAGCTACTTTAATTTGCACTACCTGGCAAAGTAGCACTGTAACCCAGGTATCATTTAATCTTGTGTATTTGGCACTAATTTCTTTCACATTCATTCAATATCAAATCAAATCCTTTAAAATCACCAAAAATCATCTAATTTGTACTTGTGTCCAGTTTAAAGCCAACCATTCAATTTTGATAATGAGTGTCCAATGCACAAGCATTTAATTTCTCAATCACTGTTAAAAACCAAACAAACAACCCAAATGATTATTGATGTATAAAATTAATCGGTCAGCTTTTAACTGGACACAAGTACAAATTAGATGATTCAGGGTGATCTTAAATGATTTTTACAAACTTTTAAACAAAGATTGGATCTTAAACGAATGTGAAAGAAATTAGTGCTAGATACACAAGATTAAATGATACCTGGGTTCCAGTGTAGATAAAGAATATCCATATAAAATCCTACGCATGTTCTGTCTTTAGATAGGGGGGGTGGATGGCTGAATGGTTAGCACATGCGCACTGTATCATAAGGTCTTTAATTGAGTCAACTGTTGTGGTTTCCATTCCCCAGTTGTAGTGTCCAACCTTGTGGGTTTTCTCTGGGTCCTTCGGTTTCCTACCCCTGCTAAAGATCACTACGCGCAAGCAAATTATTGAAATAAAATTGAACCATGTGTTAGTCCCGAAATGACCTAGTTTGTGTCTAGTCAACGTTAAACCCCATTTCTCTCGATCTCTCTCCCTCCCTCTCTCTCTCTCCCCCTCTCTCTCCCTCTCTCTCCCTTCCCTCTCTCTCTCTCATTCCCCTCCCTCTCTCTCTCCCTCTCTCTCTCTCTCCCTCTCTCTCTCTCCTCTCTCTCTCTCCCCCCTCTCTCTCCCCTCTCTCTCTCCCCTCTCTCTCTCTCCCTCTCTCTCCCTCTCTCTCTCCCCTCTCTCTCACCCCTCTCTCTCTCCCTCTCTCTCTCTCTCTATCCCCCTCTCCCTCTCTTTCTCTCTCCCTCTCTTTCTCTCTCTCTCTCCCTCTCTCTCTCCCTCTCTCTATCTCTCTCTATCTCTCTCTCTCCCCTCCCCCTCTCTCTCTCTCTCCCTCTCTCTCTGTAGATACCTACGATTGGGAAGAACCCTATGAGAATTTAGCTTCCATTAGGAAATTATGGAAGAACTGAATCTGCCTATTGCAATTCTTTCTCTGTGCTTTAAATGTTATATAAATTATTAATTAGACATTTATTAACTCACCAAGACCATAATCAAATCTCGATGCCATCTTATAGTCTAGATTTTTAACAGATGTAACTCTTATTTGCAGTTCAAAGGCGATTGATGATTTACCGTAAAAATTGTTTAGCAATGACATTCAAGGCAATGACAATCAAAGCTACAGTGTTATTGTAATAAGAATATCTCGACACAGAGTGAAGTAATTTTACTGACATTTTCAACATATTTACTTTACATTATCTATTTGTATACGCCCACATGGTAACTGTTATTCATCTAATCTTTCATAATTCACCTTTAATTAAAGATACATTATGGAGCTGGCAGTTCTCACAATAATAGTTAAAAACTAGATAATGTAAAGGGAATATGCTGAACATTTCAGTCAAATTGCTCCAATCTGAAGCAATATATTAGCGTTTGAATTTAGGCCTAACGTCGGTCATGATTACTAAAGTCGGTGCGATAAAAAACATAGTTTTGATTATCCATTTCTTGATTCGATCATCAATGAGCGTTGAGCAGCAAATCGATTCAAGTCGAGTGAAAATCCGACACATAAGGTGATTATGGTCTTTTCATGTTAATAATAAATGTCTAATTAATAGTTTATATAACATTTCAGGCCTAAAGAAAGACCTACAATATGCAGATTTAGCTCTTGCATAATGTATGTTTAACGGCTAAATGATGACATTTACTTTACAAAATTTAATTTCAGTTGGCTGACTTTACTCAGGCACCAGATGAAGTAGTTATTAACAAAATACACAAACTAGTGGAGGAAGGCGTCCGTGGCATCAAAAATGTAAAAATAAATCTGGATACATTTGTTGCTGATTATATTCACGAGAACTTCCCAAATACCAAAATAAATAAGACCAACAGACGTTTTTATCTCACAGACAGAGATATTCGCAATCATGTACACCTTGCATTATCAAAACTTAAGTAAGTTATACTCATATATTACATTTCTTTAAGCTTTGGGGGGGTTGGACGGCTTAGTGGTTAGCAAGTGCACGCTGTATCATTAAGTCTGTCATTGAGTCAACTAGCCAGGTTTCGAATCCCCGGTTGTACATGACAAGGAGTAGGGTCGCCTGTCCAACCTCGTGGGTTTTCTGCGGGTCCTCTGGTTTCCTCCCACTGCTAAAGACCCCTACGCGCAAGCGAATTATGGAAATAAAATTGAACCATGTTAGTCCCGAAATGACCTAGTTTGTGTCAAGTGGACATTATTATTGGTGTGCACGTTCAAGAACCCTTGGAATTCAAAATAAGAGTAGGTCGTAGCACCGCTGTCCAGGCAAAATTCCCCTCATAGTACACTGTATGGTGTATGCCTGAATTCATCAGCCCAGTTTGGAGCAGAACAGTAGAATGTTAAACCTCATTTCATTTCATTTCTCTTTTTGTATTTAAAGGAAATCTGAATTAGACAAAGGAGTAAGATGTTTGCAGGATGAAGATAGAAAGACAGTCGTTGAGATAGACGATATGGTTGTGACTGTTGACGCTAGTGACTTTTACCCTGGGGATGAAGCTAATCCAGGGGAAGAGGTACATGTAGTTGTGATGGTTGCTACCGGTGAAATTTGCGCAGTAGTTACCGCCAATCCACAGGAAGATGTAGTTTTGCCTGTTGATACTAGAGAAATTTGCCCTGTGGTTGCCGCTAATTCAGAGGAAGATGTAGTTTTGCCTGTTGATACCAGTGAAATTTGCCCTGTGGTTGCCACTAAGCCAGGGGAAGATGTAGTTTTGCCTGTTGACACCAGTGAAATTTGCCCTGTGGTTGCCACTAAGCCAGGGGAAGATGTAGTTTTGCCTGTTGACACCAGTGAAATTTGCCCTGTGGTTGCCACTAAGCCAGAGGAAGATGTAGTTTTGCCTGTTGACACCAGTGAAATTTGCCCTGTGGCTGCCGCTAATTCAGAGGAAGATGTAATTATGCCTGTTGACACCAGTGAAATTTGCCCTGTGGTTGCCGCTAATTCAGAGGAAGATGTAATTATGGCTGTTGATAACAGTGAATTTTGCCCTGTGGTTGCCCCTAATCCGGGAGATACTGTTTCAAAATAGTTAAAGAACCAAATGTACAAAAGTAACATTGTATCTACATGTACATGTATGGTAAATTTGTTTGCATTCCTCATTCTAACATGGATAATTGGATACGTTTAAATTATGTTGTTGATGCAACCCCAGCCCTTTTCTATTCTATGAACTGAGTGTGCACTACAGTCAACCACAGACGTCTGTAGCATGGATTTAAAAACTAACATTAAGCTATGACTAACACTGTAACCCAGGATTTATTTAATAAAATAAAACCAAGTACGAACAATCCAAACCATAAGACAGAATTCGAAGTCCTAAAAAATGTCATAGGCAAAATAGTGTATTCAAGCAAAATAGTGTAATCAGCAAATGGACTGCTCCTCGTGAACAAAATACATGACAAACAGTGGTAACAGGTGTCCGGAAGAGTAAGCTTACCCTGCCTGGCGCCACACCCGCCATAGCTGCATCCAAACTATTAGGCGAAAGGTCGGTAAATAGCGTGATTGGCCAATGAACTATCGGTATGCAAAATGCACGCGATGAACTGTGTTAACGATGTAGTAGACATTATCAGGGAGATAGTAATAGTATACGTGTCAATTAAATATATCTAGAATAATAGCCGAGAGAGACACGTTATATTTACCAATCAAATCAATATGACGGCCATAAAACTTTTTGAAGGTTTATTTAATCTTGTGTATCTAGCATTAATTTCTTTAACATTCATTCAATGTTAAATCTTTGTTTAAAAATTCTCAAAAATCGTTTAAAATCACCCAAAAGTCATCTAATTTATACTTGTGTCTAGTTTAAAGCTGACCATTCAGTTTTGATACAGAGTGTCCAATTTACAAAAGTTTAATTTCTCGATCACTGTTAAAAAAATAAACAACCCAATTGATTATTGATGTATAATGACTAATTTTTGAACTTGTAAATTGGACACTCATCATCAAAATTAATAAGTCAGCTTTAAACTAGACACAAGTACAAATTAGATGATTTTGGGTGATTTTTGCAAATTTTTAAACAAAGATTTGATATTAAACGAATGTGAAATTTATTAGTGCTAGATCCACAAAATTAAATGATACCCGGGTTACGGTGTAAGTGTAATGTCTAAAGTCTGTTACGTCCATGTTCGTAAGTGAGATTATCAAATAACTTTTTTAAACAAAGATTTGATATTAAACGAATGTGAAATTAATTAGTGCTAGATCCACAAAATTAAATGATACCCGGGTTACGGTGTAAGTGTAATGTCTAAAGTCTGTTACGTCCATGTTCGTAAGTGAGATTATCAAATAACTGGTCTGATTCCGATTTCTAACTCAGGGGCAAATAACTCGTCTGAAACCGATTCTCTTTCAGTAGATATAATAATACCAAGGTGAGAAACGGATTGGAATAAAATAATTGGGATCAAAGTTTAGTGCTCTAGACTTCGTCAACCAGTGGCAAGACTCTAATTTTTGCTAGGTAGACAATCGAGTCCATGATGACGTTTTAAAATTATCCGTGTGACCCTTTTTAAGTCATGTGGACAATTTTTTTAAACTACATCATTTGATCCCAATTATTTAATTTCAATCTGTTTCTCACCTTTGTATTATTATACATGTATCTACTGCAAGAGAATCGATTTCATAAGAGTTATTGCCCCTGAGTTAGAATTCGGAATCAGACCAGTTATTTGATAATCTCGCTTACGAACATGGACGTAACAGACTTTAGACATTATACTTAGTTATAGCTTGATGTTATTTTTGAAATATTTTCTACGCTACAGGCGTCTGTGCAGTCAACTGGGAGAAAGAAGTTTGTTGTCTTTGCTATGAAGTGTGGCAGTTGTTGAAATGCATTAAAATGTTTGTAAATATTAAAGAATAAAACTCGACATTTGCATTCTTTTTTTCTCAAGTATCTAAATGTACAGTAAACTTCGCATAGGTCAGATCTAAGTGGACTGAACAATTTTATCTGAGTTAATCAAAAATCCGAGTTAGCCAAAGACCGAAATTCAATCTTAGCTTGATTAGAAATAAACTGCAAGAGCCGGATAATAATTGATTCAAAGGCACATTTTAAGCTTTTGTTCGTATGTGCGAGTAGATAACTTCCGTTTTGGTGTGAGTAGATAACTTTGTTGCCATCTTTGAAAAATGTCCTAAATTTTCCCGGGAAGTGTCTTGTACAGCCGACAGCGAGTTTTGAATTTTCCGGGAAAATTCTATTATTGCGTCGCGTCAAATAGGCTGATTTGAGTCAAAATGATAGGGTTACATGTAAGTATTTTGGGGCTCTGTGCATGGAATACCTAACCGCGTTTTAGACCATCGGGACGAAACTGACAGTGAAATTCTGAACATACATGTACATGTACTGCCGATCCGACTTAGGCGAAGGAAAAAAGCCGGAATTACATCAAATGGACAAAACATTTTGCAAAGATCCGACTTAGGAAATCCGACTTAAGCGCATAAATTTAATAAGAAAAACGTGCAGGATCAAAGGGTCCAGACGATTTTATCCCAGTTGAGTGATGATCCGACTTACACGAATCCGACTTATACAAGGTTTTCTGTACTAAAGATTCATTACAAAAGAGCTTAATCACAGGTCTTTCTTTTGGCTTCAGATGTTATATAAACTATTATTTGGACATTTACTCACATCACAAGCCTATGGCCGAGATATAAACGGATTGAAACCATTGGATGATTTATTTTAAATATGGTGAAGCGAGGCGTAGTCTTGGTTAACAAGAATTACTGTCTGTACGATAATAAACAATCATTGCCACATCTTGTCAAAACTTCAAACAGTGATAACTTGGCTCAGAATAAAGTAATTTGAATGAAATTTCAATATATTCAATTTGCATTATCTATTTTTGATGAACATGTGCTCTGGTTGGAAATGTTAGTCCAAAACACACCCCTCTTAAATTACCTATCCAACCTCATGGGTTTTCTCTGGTTTCTGCCCACTGCTAAAGACCCCTAGGTGCAAACAAATTTTTGGAATAAAATTGAACCATATGTTAGTCCCAAAATGATTTGTGTCGAGTGAACGTTAAACCCCATTTCTCCTCTCTCTCCTTAAAGGAGCTAAATCGCTAACATTTGGGACCTAGAAATTGACACAAGTGGGTCGCAACTCATATAATACTGTAATATGAATGTATATAAACTGATATGCATTCAATGGTTTCCGTTTTTACTCTAATTTCAAATCAGTTATGTTCCGCGAAATAAGCCAGCAGTCTCAATCGAATGCAAATTTCTAGCGCCTGGTTATTCCAGTCTACATACACAGCTTGGTTTGGTGCAATATTTCTAGCCTCGTTCCTCGAGTCTCTTGCTAAAACTGGGGATGAAACACGTTATGGTACACGATTCGTGTACCAATGGTAAAATGTTTATTTCGTCTTAAATATTGGATATCACGCAGAAGCCCATCTTTTTCCGGCAAGATCACAGCATCAATGTTGATTTAAATTGACAAATAATTTGTGTTTTCAATGTTGAAGATTTTGGATGATATTGAGTTAGAGACTTACTGTCTGATTCATCGTAAATTTTAAACGGATTTCTTCGATTATGAACAAACTACTTAACGTTGGTTATTATAAACTTACCTGTGTGTTTGTAATGAACTCCCGTTCGATAAAATCCATTGCACAACTAATTATCACAACGATGAAAACAAGTTCTCTCTTGAAAAATTGAAATATCACAAACTTTTCCCAGAGAAAAATACCAATATGGAAGATGGTTACGTCACTCTGCGGAAGATATCATTTCGTATTAGGGGTGACAGCATAGGAAATTCAAGTACAATTACGACAAGAATCCATGACCACTCGGACCAAAGATCACTCGGTTCAAGACCAGTCGGACCAAGTGATAGACCACTCAGCCCAAACAAATAGACTACTCGGACCATACAAAAAGACTATTCGGACCCAACAGAAAGACGACTCGGACCAATAATAAAATGTTGTTTTAATAAATTGATAATTGCGTTTGTTTTAATATAATTACTCGAACCAATAATAAAGTGTTATTTTAATAAATTGATAATTGTGTTTATTTTAATATGACTACTCGAACCAATAATAAAGTGTTATTTAAATAAATTGATAATTGTGTGTGTTTTAATATGACTACTCGAACTAATAATAACGTGTTGTTTGAATAAATTGATAATTGTATTCCAAATCGCAAAATATCGAGAACCACACTTGTAGTCACGTTTAAAAAGGGGCATATAAACGTCCGGTCTTCGTATTATTATGTGCTGTTTATATTAACGCATCAAGAGCGGATAACTTGAAAACGTGTCTCCACCCCCCCCCACCCCCCCACCCCCCATATATAGTAACCCAGGGGTTAGTGGGGTAGAACGGAATGAAACCACTGGGGATACCGCGAATGTGGAAAAAGTAAAATTAGGCCAACAGACAAGAACAGTATACCCGTATATGTAGAAACTGTCAAAAGTCTGGACATACCGAGTCTCATTGCAAGAGTAAAGAAAAATTAGATTGATATTTTTTTTTGGCACCATTATTAATTAATTTTAAAACTAATCGTTGATTTATTTACGTACACAAAATTGAACCAAACAACTCTAAATATAAGAATTCCGTATAAGAATTATTTGCTTCTTTGTATTGTGATTTAATAATAAATAAATAGCATATTGTCTAGCCTTATAATATAATTTAATTGGTCCGACTGGTCTTGTTTTGGTCCGACTGGTCTTAGTCCGAGTAGTCTTTGGTCCGAGTGGTCTGGATACCTACGACAATTGGCATTGAGTTTGAGCGTTCGCACACATAACTACCCGCATTCCTGTATTTAGTTGCCGTCTTTTACATTCTAGTAAAATCTCTGCAAATTTTATAGCTTTACTTTTTGAAATATTTTGTTCTAATTATTTGATTAGCGACTCGGATGGGATTATTTACTTTTGAACACGCATGCCGCACAAACACAACTATACATTCGTTTTACGGGCTTTATCACACTTCGGTCAAAACTGTCGAATCGAGAATTAATTTTCCGCTTCTTACGGGGTCATACGGGCTTAGTAGCATTATATACCCACCCGGGCACCCAATACGGCAATAGACACGCTGAGGGCTGCCGCAACACGCTTAAACCCACATAACAATATGATGTTAAATTTACGTTACATTTACGTAAAAATAGTCAGTCAGTTTACCATCATTTTGCTCATCTTTTTAACGATAATTTTACGTCAGGAAATGACGTTAATCTAACGTAAAGTTTACGTCATTTTTACGTTACATTTACGTCATTTTCTGACGTAAATCTAACGTAAAGTTCACGTCATTTTCTGACGTAAATCTAACGTAAATTTTGCGTAAAGTTTACGTCACTTATGTTAGATTTACGCCAGAAAATGACGTAAACTTTACGTTAGATTTACGTCAGAAAATGACGTAAATATGACGTAAACTCTACATTAGATTAACGTCATTTCCTGACGTTAAATTTTCGTTAAAAGGATGAGCAAAATGATGAAAATCTAACCGACCATTTTAACGTAAATCTAACATTAAATAAACATCATTTTCGGATGCAATTCTAATGTCAAATGAGCAATTAAAACCTTTAATATAATCTATTATTGGTGGTTGTAATTGTAAAATTCAGTCAACCAATAACCAAATCTTCTTTAACCATATGAGGTGCTAAAGACTCCTGGCGCAAACAATTATTGAACTGAAACTGAATCGTAGGCCCCATTTCTCTCTATCTATTTCGTCCTCGAGGTTTCGGTGGTCAAACGGTTAACGCATGTTCGTTGCATCATAAGTTCCGTCATTGAATTAAGAGAGAGAGAGAGAGAAATCGGGTTTAACGTCCACTCAACACAAATAAGGTCATTTCGGGACTAACACATGGTTCAATTTTTTATTTCAATAATTCGCTTGCGCGTAGGGGCCTTTAGCAGTGGGAGTAAACCGGAGGACTCGGAGAAAACCCACGAGGTTGGACAGGCGACCCTACTCCTTGTCACATATTGAAATAAAACTAAACCACATGTTAGTCCCAAAATGACCTAGTGTGATTCGAGTGGAAGTTAATCCCCATTTCTCTCTATACATGTATTTATCAATAACCATTCAGAATTCTAAATGTAATTGCAACCAAACGCCAAAAAACCAGTACAACTTACATAATTATTCAACAAAATATACTACAAGTATCTATACTTTATTCAAAAAATACATATATAATGTAATAAAATACAAAAGTAGACATTTAAATTGTAACAGTTTATCCACAGCATTAAGTTGGTGACAATTTAGAAAACGGTCTTCGAGAAAAACTTTGAAAATGTGGAAATACACCAACACATTCAGCAGTATATCAGAAAGGAAAACTGTGACGTTGACCAAATTTGATAAAAAAAAACAAAAAAAAAACCCTACGGCCTCTATCACGTTTGCTAAAGGTTTTCGAACTAGGTGGGATAATACTGGAAAGGAAATTTGTGTAATACTAAATTTCTATTCTTCACACCAACTTTGAAACAAATGTGAATAAATTATAGGGCAGTGTTCACAGGTTTTGCAGCCAATCTGCGGGGGTGGGGACAAAATTTGAAAAAGATACATTAACGATACTTTCTGTAAGATTTAGATAAAGAGCTGACCATTCTTGCTATGATTGTTCAAAAATAAATAATATACATGTAAAATGAAAATTTCATTCAAATTACTTCATTCTGAGCCAAGTTATCACAGTTTCTAGTTTCGACATGATGTGTGCATTGTGGTAATGAGGGCACAGGTATATTCGAGACTTGGCCTCACTTTCCCATTTTTTAATTAAATTTTTAAATTGCAGGCCAGTTAAA